TCAGTAGTGCAAGTCAGCTGTGAGAAGAGGTCTTAAAGGGGAAAAAAAAGTAAGTCCTAAACATGTATTTAAAACTTCTCGTGCTCAGGATTAAAGGAAACTTGCCCAAAGCTGTAAAATATATCAATCCAAAGGTTTCTAACAGCTGAAAAGAAGTTAACAAGGAATTTCCAAAAGTTATTAGAAAAGGGAGTATGCGAACCCAGTAACCTTTCAAAGGTGCCACGGCGCTTTGAGCAAGCTGGTTATTCTCTCATCTCCCAGAACTCCACATCCAGAGATGACAGCTATCTTGTTGTCTCCTCGTGAGGAGCAGCTGCCTGGAGCACTTGTAGGCAATCTCAATCCAGAGAAATTATGAAGAGCTGGTAGAGTACAGGTAGTCTTTGATTTATGACAGCAATTGAGCTCAACATTTCTGTGGCTAAGTGAGATAATGGTTAAGTGAGTTTTCTCCCATTTTACAACCCTTCTTGCATAAGAGCCTTGGTGGTGCAGCAGACTAAAGTGCTGTTAATAGCACCAGCTGTCTGCAATTACTGCAAGTTCAAATCTCACCAGGCTCAAGGTTGACTCAGCCTTCCATCCTTTCGAGGTAGGTAAAATGAGGACCAGGATTGTGGGGGCAATAAGCTGACTTTGTATAAAAAAGAACACGGCTTAAGGGGGCCGAAAGCCCTACTAAGCAGGTATATATAAAAGTATGAAAGCTATTGCTTAACGCATTGTAAGCTGCCCTGAGTCTCCGGAGAAGGGCGGCATATAAATCGAACCAATAAATAAATAAATAAATAGTTATTCAGTGAATCACTGCAGTTGTTAGGTTAGTAACGCAGTTGTTAAGTCAATCTGGTTTCCCCATTGACTTTGTTTGTCCGAAGGTTGCAAAAGGGGATCACGTGACCCTGGGTCACTGCAAATGTCATAACTATGAACCCAGTTGCCAAGCGGATGAATTCTGATCAGATGACCATGGGGATGCTGCAATGGTCCTGTGGAAAATGATCATAAATCACTTTTTCCAGTGCCGTTATAATTTCAAATGGCCAATAGAATGGTTGTTAAGTCGGGGGCTACCTGTACTTGCTGGATCTTCCTTCCACCGTGATCATCAACTCTGCTTTTAGCAAAGTCTGGCTGGTCAAAGACCGTAATCAAGGTATTTGATTTCTGCCTAGCCAGGTTCACAGAGGGCAATGGAGAGGATAGAGGATCTTGAGGACTTGGCCTATGAGAACAGACGGAAGGAATCTGGGATGCTCAGTTGGAAAAAAGAAGAAGACCTGGGGGATGTTATGAGAAATCTATGATTCTATGACTACAGGGCTATGAAGGGGCCACAACAGACAGCAGGACTTACGAAAATCATTTAAGTGTCTCGATGGATCACCAATTGGAGACGAGTCAACAATATGATGCAATGTGATTCAGTCTACAAGCCAGCACAACCCCAGACTGCTTCAACGGAAGCAGAGCATTAAGATCAAGATCAAGTTCCTCTCTATTCTGGATTGGTCTGACTACACCTAGAAGGGCAAGCACTGTATTTCAGCATCAGTGAAACGCTGTGGCATGATTGAGGGCTAGAATTTAATAAAAAGGAAATGGAGTCCTAGATGGTAATGCCAATGCCATTCTGCAGGCAAGGAGAGGGCAAGAGAGAAATTAACTACAATATAAACTCAAGTCTTCAGGGCCAGCTTGTCTCCCTCCCATGTTATTGAAGGAATCACCAAACCCTTCTTTGTCGTCTTTGAAAACTCCTGCGGGGTCTGGTGAGGTTCCAGATAACGACAATGTCAATTTAATTTTCAAAAGCGGGGAAGAGACAACTTGGGAAACTATAAACCTGCCATCCTGATGCCCATCTTGGCAAAGTCTTCAAACAGATGATTAAGCAGCAGGTCTGTGTCCACTTGGACAGGCAGGAGCTAGCATGGACTTCTCTCCAACGAATTGGGCCAGGCTTACTTATTAAGTGGCTAGATTAATAAATCAGATCAGGGGAATGACACAGAGGTATTTGGATCTCACCAAAACTTCCCACAACCTCCATGAAGTTCTCCTTCAAAACAGGGTAAAACATGGCTTAGATGATACAGGTCGTCCTCTTACAACTACAATTGAGAACATTTCTGTTGCTAAGCAAAATAGTTAAAGTGAGTTTTGCTCCATTTTACAACCTTTGACACAGATGTTCCCATTGACTTTGCTTGTCAGAAGGTTGCAAAAGGTGATCACACGATCCAGAACCCCACAACTGTCATAAATATGAGTCAGTCGCTAAGCACCTGAATTTTGATCACATGACTGTGGGGATGCTGCAACAGTTATAAGTGGGGAAAAATGGTTATAAGTCACTTTTTTCAATGCCATTGTAACTTTGAACGGTCACCTTGTAAGTCGAGGACTACCTGTATCCCTCTTAAACAGATTCAGTTAGCTAAGTGACCCTACCCAAAAGTGGTTCTCAATGGCTCCACTTCAGTGGAGGAAAGTACTGAGTAGAGGGTTGTGCAAAGGCATCACAAAAGGCCAGCAGTTGTATTGGCCAGGCAGGCCGCAGCAGCAGCTGGAGAAAGAAGACAGCAACGGTTGACTGGGGGTGGCTGGACAAGTCAAAGGGCAGAGATGGGGGGAGAGAGGCAAGTCAGGAAGTTGAAACACCCACTGAGGAGGTAAATGCAGGCAGCTGCTAGGTGCCCCAATGTTTATTATGTGACCTTGGTACTGCTGCAGTAACTTTGATGATCACTGCCACCTGTACAGCACCTTGTAATTTCAAATGGTCTCTCAATGAATACTCATTGAGCAAGCAAGTTCAGCAGATGCCTGCAAAGAGGGAGGTATCTGGAACACAGAAGATGGGCAGAACTTATTTTGAGTTTCCCAGACCCAGGACAAGACCCGGGGAGGGGGTTCTAACCACAAAGGAAGCATCAGAACATCTTTCCAGGAGGACCTACTGCTGCACAGTGATCAGCTGCCTTGGGAGCGGTAGACTCTCCTTCACCAGAGATGTTTAAAGAGCAGCCAGGATGTTGCAATATAGGACACCTGTCCTGGGCGAGGGGCTGGACTCCAATCTTAGACTGTATAATTGCATGAATGGCAGGGAGAGTCCTCATCTTTTAGCAACAAGGCAATGTTGGCATTACAGTGAACTCATGACAGTGCAAAGTGGCTGTGGAGAATTCTTCAGAGAAGTGGGGAATTGTTTTCCCTGAGAAATATTGTGTCTGAACTCTCCTTGGATCATGCAAATTGTCTGTGGTGTGACATGGGCAAGCACTCACTTGAAGCTGCACTAGCCACTTTTACTCCCACTGGCCCCACCCCCTCGCATCCTGGAGGGAAACAAGCTTCAACACCAGCCTGCAATTCAAGAACAGGCAGCAGCCTGCCCACCCCCACTCCCCCAAGTCATGGGGCCCCGGGGTTTAAGTGTCCCATCCCAACCACCAGCAGGTCAGAAACCCCTCCAGGAGAACCTTTTGTTTCAAGTCTGGTTTTGTTGGTGTGCACTTTGTTGCATGATGATTCAGGGAGTGCATTAAAGTAAACACTTCATAGCCTGTTCTTCTTGGTCCTGGGCGGATAGTCCAAGTGCATAAGAAATGGAGACCTGGACAGGACAAAAGCAACTATAAGCTGCTCTTTCTCTGTGATATTTAACCGTGTTTTGTCCTTGCCGCTGAGCATTTTGGGAAGCCTGAGAAGGCAGCCTTCTTCGGCTTCGGCTTCTGTGGATTTACAGTTCTACTCTAACCTGGGCTTTGTATGGGATTCCTCTGGAAAGAATTGACTGCCTGAAATACGGAGTTCCATTGATGTGTTGAAAAATATTTCATGTCAGTTCATCAGAAAAAGAAAACCTGGAGACTTTATATATTCTTTTTTCATGGAATAAAAGTTGTACTTTTGGCAGTCCTTCTCAAAAACCCTCTTTTGTCTTGTTCTTGCAATTACAGGCCACTCCGTTTAGGCTGCCGATTAAAAAGCCCCTCAAAGACCTCACCGCCCGCCATTCTTGCTCTCCGCTCCCTTTAAAGCGAGGCAAAGCGGTTCGCCCGCCCGGCCTCTTCCGGGCTGGGTGGGTAGCCCCGCTGCCCCAGACGAGCCCGGCAGAGGCTCAGCAGGGAGTCGCGGGTGGCGCTTCCTCAGGCCTGCCGGTAGCGAAGGCGCCGTCGCGGGAAAGGCCAGAGCCCCCTTCGCGCCACGGCCGGGAGAGGATTGTGTGGACGGGCCTCAGGAGGGGCGAAATGCACGGGGGGGGGGGGGGGGGGCTGGGCCAATCCAGGCTCCTCAGCACGCGTGTTAAGGCTGCGCCGAGTGGGAAGCGGGACCAGCGGCTTCCCCTCCCGAACATCTGGGACCTTTTGCCCCTTTGCTACTCCTGCGCGTCCCCAAACGGCGGCCGGGCCGGGGGGTCCCCAAAGCCCCGAGAAGCGGGAAAGGCCGGGCCGCCGCTGTGAGTTTCACCTCCGGCGGCCCCAACCCGCCTAGTCCGGCCGACCCTCGCCCGCCGCAGCCGCCGCTCCTCCTTAGCGCCCCGGCTCGGTTGAGGCCGCAACTCCGCCCCGCCCGCCCGCCCGCCCGCGGCTCGCCTACCGTGGCCGAGGCTCAGACGGGGCACCGCCTCCCCGGGGGCGGCCGAGGGCAGCAGCGAGCCCAGCAGCAGCAGCGGCGGCAGCAGCAGCGACGGCCCCATGGCGCGGGGGGCCCGGTAAGCGGCGAGGTCGGCCGCGGCGGATCGGCGAGTGCGGCGCCCAACCCAGCTCGCGCTGCTCCAGCTGGCCGGGGCGGGCGTGGCGGCGCCTCCGCCTTCGGGGCGTGGCGGGCAGGCCCGTACCTGAGCAGCAGCCGCGCCCGGCCGCCCCTGCGGGGAGGGCGGAGCCGGGGGCTTGGCGCGCACCTGCCCGCCTCCCAGGGCGATTCCGCCGTAGCGGCCGCTGGCCGGCCTCGTGGCTTTGGCCCCTCGAGATCCGCTAGTCGCTCACCCGTGAGCCGCGCGCAGAACCCGGGGCTGCAGAAGGCGAAAGCGAGGCCGCTGCGGAGCGCCTGTTCAGAGCCCTTCGGGACGGGCAGAGTCCGCCCCTTCTTATTCCCCCGGAGCGCTCTCGATTCTTTCCAGCGTCAGCCGCCCAGAGTCGCGAATTGTCCGATTGCTTCCTTTTGCAGATGCGCTACCTAAGCACGCCACTGGAGGCGCTGTCGGGAACCACGCCAGGAGCCGGCTGTAAGGCCTGGCCTCTGGGCAGGAAAGCCGAACTCTTGAAACAAAAGGAAACTTTTATTGGGAGAAAGTGATAGCGAGGAAAGCAAGGCAGGATCTGAAATTCCCGCTCAGAACCCTTAGACTAAACGTTGCAAAAACCCCTCCCCTGTGCCCAGTCAGAGGCAAGGCCAGGCGAGCCAATCCACAGGTGCTGAGAAGGTGATAAGAAGCTGTTCTCAGGTGCCGCTTGGCCTTCCTTCCCAGCTGAGACAAAAGAGATGGCCCCAGCCAATCCCTCCCCCTCCCTCTCCCAAGCAGGTGCATCAAAGTGACAGAACAACCAGAAACAGGAAAAGGTTGCAAAGGAGCCTCCTGGCCCTCCCCGGCAGAATGGCAGCGTGGGGGGGGGCCTCTGGCTCCCACAACCTCGCCACAAGACCCCGTCCTTTAGGCAAGCAAGACTTCCACCTTTGGCCCATCTTGGCCGGGGAGGAGCTCCCCCCGCCCGCCACAGATCTAATGCCCGCTGGTGCCAGGCACAGACCAGGAAGGGTCACCAAGAGTTGTTGCTGCCCAGACAGAGTCCAGGCCTCCTGGGATCTTTACTGCACCTGTCCCCTTACCTGGAGCTGCTCTCTGGATTTCTTCCAGCTGAAATGGGAGCCAGGAATCCTGGCATCAGCCAGCCAGGTGGAGTTAAGAGGCTGCCTCTCCACCTGCTTGCGGCCAGCTGCAACCCAGAAGTTGAATTGAATATTTTATTTGGCTAAGTGTGATTAGATACATAAGGAATTTATCTCTTGATGAAGAAGCTCTCGGTGTACATGCAAAGCAACAGAATCATCATCATCATCATCATCATCATCATCGTAATAAAAGAAGAGAGTAAAGAAGATAGTAAAGGTAAATAATTTATTTTACAGCCATACTACATGGGTAAGTATGCATAGATATTAGATAAAACTGTGGGGATTAAGTGTTCAGCAGAGTCTTGGCAGAAGGGGGAAAAAAACTCTTCCTTGTCTGTTTTAGCATGCAGTCCTCTATAGCAGCACCCCGAGGGGAAGGAGTCGAAACAGTTTATGTCCAGGATGTGAGGGGTCTGCAGATATCTTCTCAGCCCTCCTGACCCACACAATTTACAGATCTTCCATGGAAGGTAGGCTTCCATAGACAGGGGGTTCCTGTTACCCCCTAGGAGTGCATCCTTGCCAACTTGATTGGCTTGTACCAGATCACTACAAGCTGTGGAAACAGCTGCTTTGAGAAACAGGGCTGACGGAGCCCCTTGCAGGACCCTGCTGAGCCATCCTCCATGGCCAGCTGGAAGGATGGCGTAAGTCTCTCCCCTTCCCTGCAGGCAACACTCCCACTGTTTCCATAGCAACGAGTTCCCAGCAGTAGCCATGGCAACTGGAGCCTAGGAGAATGGCCCTAGAGCCCAAGGGGTCAGCGAGCCAAGCTGGCACCAGCAGGGGAATTGGGGGGAGGAGACAGGGGCCAAAGGGGTGCTGAGCAGTGGATCACCCAGGCCTTTTAAAAAAAGGAAGGGGTCTCGCCCCATCCTTTCCATCTACCTCACAAACTTTGAGGGTGAAGTGCCTTTTCTCTCTGCCTGTGTTGTTGTTAGTTGCGAAGTCGTGTCCGACCCATCGCAATCCCATGGACAACCTTCCTCCAGGCCTTCCTGTCCTCTACCATCCTCTGGAGTTCACTTAAGCTCCCGCCGACTGCTTTGGTGACTCCATCCAGCAACCTCATTCTCTGCCGTCCCCTTCTTCTTTTGCCCTCCATCGTTCCCAGCATTAGGCTCTTCTCCAGTGAGTCCGTCCTTCTCATTAGGTGGACAAAGTATTTGAGTTTCATCTTCAGGATCTGGCCTTCTAAAGAGCAGTCAGGGTTGATCTCCTCTAGGACTGACCGGTTGGATCGCCTTGCAGTCCAAGGGACTCGCAGGAGTCTTCTCCATCACCATTGTTCAAAGGCCTCAATTCTAGCTATAGAATTATTGATAGTTCAAAGGCCTCAACTCTCTACCTATACTTACCTGTTACAAAAGGAAGGAGAGAGGAGGCAACCTGCGGGGCCCCTCCCTCAGGTCACCTGGAAGGAAGAGTCCAGCTGAGCACCTTCTGGGCCTCCTGGCTGCTCTTCTCAGCCGTGACCCAGTGGGGCACTGCTCTGCTCTGTTTGCACCAGGCCCTGAAAAGAGAATCATGGGACCATAGTGTTTCTTGCTTCTGCTAAGGCTGGGTCAGAATACATAGCCCAGGTCCATCAGGGTCCTTGAATTTTATTCAGCAGAGAAGACACTATTGGAATTCAGAAATTATAATGACTCAAAAGTATTCTTTTTTTTTTTATTGAAAAAGTTTTAAAACAAACACAATTTCCCCACAACCCTCCCTCCCAACCCCCCTCCCCCTCCCCGACTTCCCAGAGCAAAACACAAGGTATTTCTATTGACCTTTAACAATAAACTAAATTGCATAACCAATCATTAAACTAACACCCCCTAAAAAAAAATTCTTAACCCCCCATATATAAAATCCTATTTCTTAAACATAAAACTTCTAATAACACTTATGTAGCGCTTATACAAATAAAAGAGATCATTCATAAGCTATTTGATATTTTTTGGTCTGATACTTATTTTGTATATAATCAATCCATCTTCTCCAGTCCTGTATATACCTTTCTTGTGTGTGATCCTTCAAATATGCTGAAATTTTAGCCATTTCAGCTAAATTAGTTACTTTCAATATCCAATCATCAATAGTAGGCAAAAAGTCCTTCTTCCAATGTTGGCCTACCAACAATCTTGCTGCTGTTATCAAGTTCAAAATCAATTTAGTCTCTGCAACTGTACAGTCCGTAGTTATACCCAGTAAGAACAACTGTGGAGTAAATTTCAGTCTCTTTTTAAGAATATTCTGCATCACCCACCAAATCTTTATCCAAAATGCTTTGATTTTTCTACAAGTCCACCATATATGATAATAAGTTGCATCATCACAGTCACATCTCCAACATTTAGCTTGCACATTAGGATACATACATGATAATTTTTTGGGATCTAAGTGCCATCTATAAAACATTTTATAAAAATTTTCTCTTAAATTTTGTGCTTGTGTAAATTTCACATTTCTAATCCAAATCTTTTCCCAAGTCTCCATCATTACTGGCTCTTGAAAATTTTGTGCCCATTTAATCATACAGTCTTTAACCAGTTCCGTCTCAGAATCTATTTCCAATAAAACATTATACAACCTTTTAATATGCATTTGTTTTTGATCTCTAATTTGTTTTACCAAATTCTCCTCATTTTGATGAGGGTTTTTTGATCTTCCTTCCATCTAGCTTGAAGTTGACCGTACTGAAACCATGTATAAATTATACCTTCTTCTCTCAGTGTATCTAAAGATTTCAAATACATTACCCCCCTTTCCATAATAAGAAGCTCTTTATAGGTAATCACCTCCTGTTTTTGTTCTATACTTATATTTTCTATTGCATGTCTAGGATTTGCCCATACAGGTATCTTATAATTTAACTTATATTGATATTTTTTCCAAACCCTCAACAAAACATTTCTTAGTATATGAGCCTTAAATACTTTATCCACTTTTTTGTCATATAACAAATAGGCATGCCATCCATATAACAAATCATAACCTTCTAAATTCAAAATTCTCCCCTCAGTTAAATTAAACCAATCACTAATTTGTGATAAAACCGCTGCTTCATAATATAATCTTAAATTAGGCATTTTGAGACCCCCTCTTTCACGTGTATCTTGTATAATTTTCATTTTTATTCTGGGTTTTTTCCCAGCCCAAATGAAAGTATTAACACCTTTCTGCCATTCTCTCAGATTTTCATCTTTCTTAAGCACAGGTATCATTTGGAACAAAAATAAAAATCTAGGTAAGACATTCATTTTTATTGCTGCAATTCTTCCCAATAAAGACAACTGTAATTTTTTCCAATTTTCCATATCCTTCTGTACCTTCTGCCAAAGAACCTCATAGTTATTTTTGTATAATTTTGTATTTGAAGCTGCTATGTATACCCCTAGATATTTGACCTTTTTAACTATTTCAAAATCTGTTAATCTTGCTAGTTTATCTCTTTCAAGTATAGTCATATTTTTAACTATCATCTTTGTCTTATGTGAGTTAACTTTAAATCCTGATACTTTCCCGTATTGATCAATTATATCCAATATATATGGAGCCGACTCTATAGGTTGGGATAAGGTAATAACCAAGTCATCTGCAAATGCTCTTAATCTATAATCTTGATATCTAATTACAATACCCTTCAATTTTTCTGAGTCACGTATCTTGTTCAATAGTACTTCCAAAGTCAAAATAAACAGTAATGGGGACAGAGGACACCCCTGCCTTGTTCCTTTCTCAATTTTAAAAGCCTCTGTTAAACCTCCATTAACTATAATTTGTGCTGTTTGCTGCTGATATATCGCTCTAATTGATTGTGTGAAATATTCCCCAAAGTGCATTTTCTCTATTATTTTAAACAAAAATTGCCAGTTCAAACGATCAAATGCCTTCTCTGCATCCAAAAATATAAACGCTGCAGGGACTTGATTATTTTTTTCCAAATATTCCAGTAAGTTTACAATTTGTCTAACATTATATCTCATTTGTCTCCCTTTTATAAACCCTGATTGATCATTATGAATTATTTGTTGCATAACTGGCATTAATCTATTAGCTAATATCTTAGCAAAAATCTTTCAATCAATATTCAGAAGTGAAATTGGCCTAAAATTCTCAGGTTTAATGGAATTTTGGTCCTCCTTTGGAATTAGTGAGACAAAGGCTGTTTTCCAGGAAGGTGGTACTCCTCCTCCTACTTGTATTTTATTAAATAAAATTTTGAGTGGTTCTAACATTTCAGATTGTAAGTGTTTATAATAGACAGCTGTTAGTCCATC